AGAACAAAAAAAGAGTCATCGTCGTCGCGGACCACCGGTGCCTCTAGCGGGAGGGGGAAGGGGGAGGAGGCGGAATGTGAATGGGGGCGTGTCGGCGGCACAGCCAGCGGCGGGGGGATCAAACAAGACACGGAGACACGCAGCGACAGCGGCGGACACGGCGCACAAACTCAACGTGGGCCGCAGTGAGTTGCCCCAAGTAAGAAAATTAATACCAAAACAAAGCGATGGAAGTCCAGCAGGGCACAGGGAAAAGCAAACAAACAAGAAATTACTTCGGCAGGTGTTTCGTTCCTTCACGTGTCCAGCAGCCCAAGAGGACAGTGAGAGTGCATGTGTATTTGATGCCTGCACCAATAAAAGCAAAAAAAAAAGAAACAACTGCCTGTTGCAGGAGCCCACACACCCCTCGCACATTTCTTGCCGCGTTCGGCCTGCGCTTCCACCCATCAGTTGCGTCGAATCCGTGCGGCGCACATCAATGCGGCCGGCACCGCGTCTGTGTGAGGCAGCAGCAAACAGGAGGGGGAAAAGGATGCGCCGCCCACTGAAACGTGCATGGGGCGGCGAAGCAAGGAAAACAAAAGAAAACGTCCCTCAGAGCACAGGAGAGAGAGAAGGAATGCTCTACAGGAAGGACAAGCAAAATGAGCGCGCACAAAACGTACGCGTCGTCCCTGTCAGGGTGTGTGTGTCGTTTGCCCCTCGCCACCTACGCAGCAGCACAAGCAAGGACAGTCGTGATCAGCAGCAGCGGGGCTCGCTCCCACACAGCGGCGATGGTGCCACTGCCGTCCGCGTGACTTTTTGCGTGCTTCGCAGCGCTGGGACCGCTGGTGGTCGTTGTTGTTGTGGCGGCGGTGCTTACGTCGGTGCCGCCAGCGGAAGGGGCGGCGGAACTGGGCGTGCCGGAAGGACGTGGAGGGGTCGGGGATGCGTCTCTCTCTCCGGATGCTCGTGCCCCGCTCTCCGCCGTGCCTGCTGGCGGGGCTGCAGGCGCCTCCGGCGATGTTGGTGGTTGCTCTCCCGCAGCAGGCGGTGCCGCGGTGCCTTTAGGCGCACCGCCAGCCTTTCCAGCTGGGTCTCCCGCGGGGATTGTTAACGGGCAAACGCCTGGCTTGCCAAGTGCGGCCCCGGTTGCTGCGGGAGCAGAAGGAGACGGACTGCCGGCGGCTGGATTATTTGCTGCCACCCACTTCTTGTGCACTCCGCTTCCGGCATGCGTCGGGAAGTTCATCGTGAACGCGGTCTGCCCATCTTCCTGGGCTTTGGCCGCGCCGCAGCTCGCGTTACATTTCGCGGCCACGTACCGCGATTCGGCGAAGAGGCAGAGGGACTCACCGACACCGTCGTCGCCTGCTCCGTACTGAGACACGTCCAGAGTAATCACTTCTACGTCCTCTGCGGCAGAATCCTCCCCAGCAAGTGTGTAGTCGTGCGCTCCCACTGCGGCTGCACACTGCGTCCACTCACTCTTGCCAGGGAAGCGCCAACGTAACTTGTTGTCACTGCCCGCGCAGGACACCTCCACCGGCACATTCACCTCCTTCTTCGCCGCAGTTCCCGCCCATACGGAGGGGGCGCAGCAGCAGCCGCAGAGCAGCGCGAGGAGCGCCAGGGCGCACACCGCACGGCGCCGCACCGCCAGCGTCATCGCCATCGGTCGCAGTGGTGGTAGAGTGACAGTCGACTTGGTGGGCTGCGAGGCAGAGGGAGGGAGAAACAAAGAAAGAGGGAGCGGGAGTGCAAAAGGAACGAAGAAAAAGGCGGCAGCGGGAGAACACAGCCACACACGCAGAAAAGCCACGCAGCAACGGCAGACCTCCCAGCGGTGTGCCTCCCTCAACCAGAGGCGGGGGCGGTGCGGGCGGGTAGCCTGTTTGCCTTTTTTTTAAAGTTCCCCGAAAATAAAAAGGGGGTTAAGCCCGTGACGCAGGCGCCTTGTGGCACCCGATCCCCAATCGCACCTCTGAGGCCGTCCAAGCGCGTTTGCACAACTGCGTCCGGCGGCTGTGGTGCCAGGCCCTGCACTGCGGCGCCCAAAAGACACTCACCCAGGACGGCGCCGGTGCCGTGGCACGTGTCCCCCACAGCCTTGGCAGCTGCGAGGTGCATGGGCGGCAGCTGTGCGTGGCCAAACAGCCGGGGGCTCGCGAAGAGGAGGGGCCCAAGCCCACAGAGCGTTTGACGTCAGCCGGCCCTGCTGCCGCCGCACCCGTCGTGATGGACCCCCGAAGCAAAAGCAAAAGCAAAAGGCGTATAGGGCAGGCGGTCTCACAAAACGGTGTACATTACCCGCAGGGACGGATGCATCTGCCTCATCTCCCACTGGCAGTCCGCAGGCACAAACGTCGTTTACATTTCATTGGAACCGTCACCGCCCTGCTGCCGCTCCCTCGCCGAAACACACACACACACACACACATTGTACCTGCACCGCAAACAACTCCGAAGCCCTCACCCCCGCAATGGGGAGTTTACCCCCAACTGCCCCGCCGCCCATGCAAAAACACACAAAAACAAAACCCGCCGAATAAAGCGGGCGCCCCTCCGCACTCACTCCTTCAGTCGGCAAGAGACGAGGAGGAGGAGGAGGAGGCGGAGGGGGGCGCGTCAACGTGCCCACAGCTCCAGGCTGCTCGCCCAGCGCGTGCAGCCCAACAACGCACGGAGCAGGCGCGCACACGCCCAGGATGGCAACCCAG